GCCGTTCTAGACTTTCTAGGCACAACACACAGAAGCATCCAGCCTGAAAAGCAGGTGGTCCCATGCTCTGGTGCCCAAAGAGCAGTGAGACCCAGAAAGAGAGCCAGCAATTTGCTCCGCTGTGCAGACCGGCCTCCTGACTTAACTGTCTCAGGGGCAGAGTACAGGGAAAGCTATCGGGAGGTTTGAGAAGCAGTTTAATTGGCTGAATAAACAAAAATGATGATCTACTTCACGGGAAGAAGTTTAATCTCCCTCTATCTACACACACAGACCTTTTTCCTTGGGTCGGGGCAGTTTCAAAGAACCAAGAGGGAAAGAAGGCTGCAGTTAGAAGAGGGGCAAAGACAGCAGGAGTGAGGAAGGAGAGTACAGCTGACTGACAATGCTGGTCTTCCCCCTTGACCCTCTGACATCACAAAATGGAAAGGCAAGGCCAGGCAGGAGGGCAGCAGCGGAGATGGCGTGCCAAAAGGAGGAATCAACCCTTCTTGGAAGTCCAAGAAGAAAGACAACTCGGGGGAGGGCTGGCTACTTCTGAACGACAGCTGTGAAAAATCATGTGTTTTCACATAATTTAATTACTAGTGAAACACTTACAGCATGAAGAGTTAAAATTAACAAAAGTATCGCTAATGTTAACTCGAAGACCTTTCCGATGGGTAACCCCCTCACTGCCATTGAGCCCATTCCCTCACAGCGACCCTCTGGGACAGGTAGAACTGCCCCTGTGGGTTTCTGAGGATAATAACCACTTACAGGCGTAGGAAGCCACATCTGACTCCATGGAGCGGGCTGGGGTGGTTTTGAACTGCTGAACTTGTGGTCCGCAACCCATGTAACCCACTATATACCACAAGGGATATGAAAACATGCTCGCTCATAGACACTGCTGTTCTAAACTGCTCAAAGAAAACGTTGCAGCCACCAACACAACCCTCTGCATTTCGATCCAGTAGCTATGGTCCTTCTGGGGCTAGAGGTGAAAGGCAGTCTGGTCAGGCTGTGTGTAAACCAGCCCGCAGTGCCTGAACTTGCTGGACTTCTGTTCTGCGATGTGGTTCACACTTTACACCTTACCCAGAAACTCAGGTAAGGATTTATCTGTGCTAGCCTCAAACCTAACCAACTCCTCAGCGGTCCCAGTGGCGTCTCTCAAGGCTGCCTCTAGTGTCGGTGCAGGTCACAAGCCCTAAAGTTGCTCAAATCATTTCAATCGAAAGTTAGTTTAAAGAAATACCCATCAAATACCAGTCAGTAATTCTTGACTATAGGTAATCATAGAGAAACTAAACGACACCCCCCCAACACACACACACATACACACACACACACACACACACACACACACACACACACACACCTCAAATGTAAAATGAGAGAGCCCCAACTGCTCAGTACTCAGAACAAAGAAAGACGTCTGGAAGTGTCACACTCTCTTGGTTCAAGCCCACCAGCTGCTTCCTGGGAGAAAGAGGAAGCTATCTGCTCCCGTAGAGATTTACAGCCCTGGAAATCCTGCAGTGTCACTGAGTTGGAACTGACTGGGAGGCAGTCAAGTTCTGTACTTTGGACTAAGGTGTCCTGTTTCCCCCAGCTCCCACCGGATGCTGGAAATCAATCAGATGACACGGAGTTTCAGATGTCTGTATGGATAAGGCGAAGCCCCGGTAGCCTGGTGGATTACGAGTTGGGCTGCTAACTACAAGGTCAGGGGTTCGAATTCACCAGCCACTCTGAGGGAAATGGATGAGGCTGTCTGCTCGAATTAGGTTCATAGCTTTGGAAACCCAAAGGAGCAGTTCTACTTTGCCCCATAGGGTCACTGTGAGTCAGACTAGTCTGAATGAGTCAGATCGGGTTGTTGGTTTGGTTCTGACAAGATGGGACTGTCGACGACCAGCTGAACTGACAGGGGAACTGGCACATCACAATGTCCTACACTGAGGTCCATTGTTCATGAGTCACACCCGGAGAAGGCAGAGAGCTAGCAGGTGTGTGTCCTAGTGTCACATCTCCTTCTGCAGATGGATAGCTGGACAGGAATATCTGCCAAGACGAGCCACTTGAAATAATTAAACTCAACTCACAGAACACCAACTTGCCTGGCATTGGCAGTTGGTCAAACAACTAAAAGGCAGTCGGGCTCACAGTCACTGTGGAAATCCCTGCAGTGTATTCGTAATTTTATGCCAAGCGGCTTCACCTGCCATTACCCAAACTGCCCCATGCCCAGCCTCTATTCACTCAGGTGAAATTAAGTCCTCACCTGCTAGCTGGAAGATCAACAGTTTGAATCCACCAGCCACTCCACAGAAAAAAAGTGAGGCTGAGGCAGTTGGCATCTAAAAAGACAGCCTGGGAAACCCTATGGGGCAGTTCTACTCTGTCCTACAGGGTCCCAGGGAGTTGGAATTGACTTGGTAGCAGTGTTTTTACTTTTAATGTTTATTACGTTTTATAAAAAGGTAACTAAAATGCCAAGACTCAGCAATAAATGAAACCGGGAGCCCTGTGGCTGAGCCCTGATGGCATTAAAGGTGCACCTACACTTGCCTTGGAAAGGCGGGCTCCCCAGAACGAGGCCATTCCCCAAGTCCCCCAAAGGCAGGAAAGACACACTTGGTAGGTAGGTCTTAAAACCCTTGGCGAAATTCCTCAGGGGCTCCTTCCATTTGACTGATATGTAATTAATCAAAGACGTCTCACAGGTTGCTCCTTCTCCACAAGGCACACGAAGTGGTGGTGTAACGCGTCACCTCCAATGCTGCCATGGGTCTGAAAGAAGCTCCTGTGGCTTAGATTCGTTCTTAAACGGCTGATACTGGAGGGCTCACCAAACTGGAGCCAACTCCATAGCACCTACCAACACAGATTGAGGACAAAGAGCCCCGGTGGCACCGTCAGCTCAGCGTTGGACTGCTAACTGCAAGTTTGGCAGTTCAAACTCCTGGTAGCACAGGGGCTGTGTAGGAATCGACTCAATATTAAGTACATGTTCATTTAAGGAGCCTTGGGAAAGACGAGGCTTTCTACTCCCATAACAAGTTATAGTCCTGGAAACCCACAGGGACAGTTCTACCCTGTCCTATTGGGTAGTGGTGCCTCAGAATCCATGTCAATGAGCGAGCCGCAGGCCAGGCTCTGATCTGCTAACTACAAACCCCCTAGCCATGCCTGAAAAGTACAGTGAGGCTGTCTGCTACTGTAAAGCTTTGGTTTTGGAAACCAGACACAGGGTCACCATGGGTCAAAACTGGCTCCATTGCAGTGGGTGGGATTATGTTCACTTAATAGTTTCAAAAAGAATCTCTCGAGAGGACAGCCTTTAAAATAAATCATCTTTTAATTCTGTATGTAGACCAGTAATTTTCAACTGTCCTTGCAGTTACATTATTGAAAACAATTTTATTAATTACATATCTTATATCCCATGGAACAGACACCTACATTACTGAAGTTTCGCAAATTTTTGGCCATGCCAGATCTTTAACTTCTGAATGAATGAAATTAGGAAGATGCCTCAAGATGAAACTGTCAGCTGGTCCACTCTGCTCAGAATGAGCACGGAGCACAGAAAGGGAGGCAGAACTTTACATGCTCACCACCATCAGGTCGATTCCGACTCACAGACTCTACAGGGGTCCCGAGACTGCCGTTGTTCATGGGGGCAGACAGCCTCATCTTTCCCTAGTGAATGACTAGTGGTTTTGAACAGAGACCTGGCGGTTAGCAGGCCAACACCGAACCCACAACACCACCATGGTGCCTGTACATCGGGAGAGGAAATGGCCTTCCACCTGAAGCCCAGGAAAGCATTGATCAAGTACGTGTGACAGCTCACCTAGTCTGGGGAGCGAAGATGGGAAGAACACGAGTATCTGCCCAGGTCTACTAGGAACCGATTCTGTCACACCTTCAAATCACGGTGGTGGGAGATGCCAGCATCTCCTTCTCACTGACGGGGAAGCAGGCTTAGAACAGGGGGGAGCCGACCATAGCTAACCAGCGTTGGTGGGGCTGGGCTGCACGGTCTGTCTGCTGCCCCTGTGCACATGCCAGAGGAGTCCTACAGCGTTGGGGCCAAGGTTAGAGTGTCATATGGATGGTGGAGGGAACATCCTTCTAAGAGCCCCTGAGGAGACCCCCGTACCCACCCACCCACCCTCCCCATTCTAGGTTCAGCCACTGCACACGGTTAGCACTGGGGAAAGCAGGTTTTGACCATCAGCCTTGGGTCCTCCTTCCTCTACCCCAGCCCCAAGTATTCTGGGGCTTCAAAAAGTTTGGGTGAAAACATATTTAAAAGATAATGTTATTTAGGGGTCACAAGGGTGAGGGGTGGGTGGAAGGAGAGAAAAAAGAGGAGCTGAAACTAAGGGCTCAAACAGAAAGTAAATGTTTAGAAAGTCATGATGGCAACATACGTGCAAATATGCTGTACAATTGACGTATGAAATGTTATAAGAACTGTATGGGCCCCCAATAAAATAATAGAAAACAAAAGATAATGTTATTCTCTTGTGAACTTTCTAAAGCCTCCTCAGATCACATAATACCCATTAAGAGACAGACATCCCTAGTTGAAACATTTATTTACTAATTTTTTTAATATTCCCAGTTTAAGCATAGAGGGAATCCTCGGTGGCATGTGGACAACAACTTGAGTTACTATCCACTAGGTCAGTGGTTCGAACTCACCAGTTGTTCTGTGGGGACAAGATGAGGGCTTCTAAAGCTCCTATAGCGTTACAGCCTAGGAAACCCACGGGGGCTAGTCTGGTGTTCATGCTGTCCTGCGCGGTCACTCTGAGACTCGACAGCAGTGAGTGTGAGTTTTTGAGACCAGGTTAAGCATCCATTAAGGGCCAGCGTGTGAACAAAAAGGGATCAATGACCCCAATGCGGCAAAAAAATCTACTCAAGTGGCGACTTAGCAAATACAAGAAGCCAGAAGAAAGAGATGAGCTACCTGAAACCATTGTGGGTCTGACACTTACCTTAAGCCGTAACAAGGCAACGTGAAGAGGCGAAACAGCGCCAGGAAAACCCTCAGGGGGAGCAGGGTGAAGACGTAGAGGAACGCATCCAGGCACAGGAAGATGCCAAACACCATGAGCTAGGTTTTCAAACCAGAAAACAAGACAAGACAAAACAAAACTTACTTGTTAAAGAACTGTCGGTGCAAACGTTAAGCAATCAGAAGCCAAACCAAGCTCGCTGCCATCTGATCGATACGACTCAGAGCGACCCTCAAGGCAGGGTAGAATTATCCCCATGTGTTTCCGAGACGGCACCTGTTTATGGGAGTAAGAAACCTCATCTTTCTCCCGAGATGCTGGTGGTTTTGAACTGCCAACCTTTCAGATTGCAGCAGCCGCTCATGTAACCACTATGCCACCAGGACTCCAAAGGCTGTCTATAATGTGTGGGAAGTTCACTCCTTATAGTTCAGCTGTGGGAATAACAAATTCACAGTTGTACTTGTATGTGAACCTCACTTCTAAGAACATCCTCTGTCAAAGTGCACGTGGTGCTACTGCCTCCAGTCTTTTGCTCGCCCTGCTCAGAAGTCAAGCCACTCGGGAGGGGCGGCACCTGCCCAGGGCGGTGAACCACCAGGTGCCATTGGCTTAAACTTTGACGCCAAGACCGCAAGGCTCTCTGACAAAACTTGTAAAATCGAACTATGCTCCTCATTCGCTTGATGATTGCTTGTTTACATAGAGAACGTTTCACTGGTGGGAAAGAAAGGACTCCCTATGGAGTTAAACATCTGTTTCTCTCACATTAAATATGCATATGCAAAATGATCACTACTTTAAACACAATTCCCCTTCCATTCTAAATTAGTGACCCTGAATTTCAGAGGACCAGCAGCTGGCTGTTATGGTCTTTCTCTACTCTGTCTGGGCTACCTGCTGCACCCTTCCCTTAGGTGGGGGCTGGGGGGTGTATGCACACATCTTCACCCATCACTTGTAGGGCTGTATTTCCCGGGAGGGTGGGGCGTTCTGATAGTTTGCAGACGCAGGCACACTTCAAACCAGCCACAAACCAGCCAGGCTCCAGAGTCAGCTTTGCAGGAGCAGTGTTTTCTGACTGCCTGACACACACAGGGCACCACATGTACACGTACACACACACACACACACACACACACACACACACACACACACACAAAACTTTGTACCTCCAGTTAAAATTGTCCTACATCAATTATCATTTAGTATCCACCATTAATTGAAAGACCACATCTTATTACTTTTTGATGAAATTAAATATTAAAAAATATTAAAATATTTTAAAAATTACACTCACAGTGCATATATAATTTCTATATATGCACATATATATATACCAGGTTCCTTAATCAGAATAGATTAACCCTGAGAGCCCTACTCTTCTCTTTCTCTTTGAAAGGATTTACGCTCCTCATGCACAATGACGACAACGAGGGCACAGTGTTCAACCACAAAGTCACGTGTGCAAGGCTCAAAACCAAACTCATGGCCACCTGTGCGGTTAGGTACCCCAACACCTAGCCCACAGGCATCATCTCTACCCCTCTTCATCTCTTCCTTCTGAGTTGCTGGCCCCGAGGCATGGGAGGGAGGAGGGGAGAACCAAGGTCAACATAGCTGACAAGACGCTGTCCCACCAACTTGTAGCAAACTGGCGTCTGCAAAATTTGCGAGAGGCCATGGGAGGTGGGTGGGAGCTGCTACAATGGGGACTACGATCCATGTCACAGAATTAAACACCTGTTTATCACTGACTGAAAATCAGTATGTTTTGTAACCATTCGAGGCACAATAAAAAGTTTAAGAAAAAGAAGATGCAATAAAATCTGTGTCTATATTCCTGCGTTTCATGCAAAGGAAGAGGCAGTGCCTGTGTGCAGTTGGGGGGTGAAGCTGCCGGCTCCTCTGCCACCTGCTGCTTCAGCTCTGGAAGCAGGAGGTGCCTAAAGCCGACCTTTCCAGAAGGCATCTTGGTGAGTGCATGAGATGGGGTGCGGAGAAGGTAGGGTTGCCTTTCTCACGACCATTTGTGGGATCGAATGGTCCAGCTGGGCTGTTCCCAGGGACTGCGCATGTCCCGGTGGGCACAGCTCCTTCAGCCCATGGCGACACTAGCAGGTGAGTAAGAAAGGCCTGGGCAGTGCTGGGGCGGTCAGGGCAGAACTCCGTATGCCGGGGGCAGGGAGGCGAGGGTGAGACAGACAGACAGACACACAGACCACTGCCAAACTGACCTCAGGAAGCTCCAGAAAGCGCTTCATGGATGAGGAGGTGAGCAGGGCTTCTGGAGAGGAGGAGCAGGCGGTGGAGATGGGGTGAGGGAGGGGGTGGGGAGGGCAAGGACAGGCACGTGAGGAACTATGGAGACGGGCACTTCCTCCTAGAGATAAGGGCAGCCACTCTTGGGCCGCGGAGGACTTTGTATCATTTAAGGTGAACAAGTAGAGCTGGAACGCTCCGCAGAAGGGAGGATGGGGCACTTTGGACATGAGCGATCAGTCCCTGCAGGGCGGCACACTTGTTAACGCAGAGGGGCAGCGGAAAAAGAGGAAGCCCCTCTATGAGATGGACCCACGCCGTGGCTGTGACAATGGGCTTAAACAGAACACTGGGAGGGTGGTGCAGGACCGGGGAGTGTTTCCTACACTGCACCTGGGTCCCGATGAGCTGGGACCCAATTACTGAACAAGGGAAACAAATGTAACAACGGCCCACAGGCCTTCTCCCTCACACTTCAAACCAGTCACATCGACTCAGTGGCTGACCATACCACTCGTGGCTCAACGACCATCAAAGGAGGTGGCCGGATTCCAAAGAAATGCTGCCTGGGTGCAAAGCCATTCTGTAGCCAAGAGCACACCCAACACTGTAGCATCTCAGTGACAAGCTTCCCTGGAGGAGAAAACCCAAACTCACTGCCCTGTAGTCCATGCAGTCATAGTGACCCTATAGGGCAGGGCAGAGCTGCCCTTGTGAGTGTCCGAGACTGTGACTCCTTACAGGAGCAGAAAGCCCTGTCTTTTTCCCATGGAGAGACTGCTAGTTTGAACTGCTGACCAAGCGGTTAGCAGCCCAATGCTTACCCACTACACCACCGGGGCTCCTGGGAGGAAGAGGGCAGATACAGTTGTTGGCATGTCTTGCTTTCCCACAAACCGGAAAGACACTGTTAAGTTCGAGACAGAGGAAATGGAGAGAGCTTCATGCAGAGAATCTGGAAGCCCTGCTTCCCTGGAGGAGGGAGGGCTCCCTGGCCTGGTCTTGCTCGGGGTGAACACAGGTGTGTGTTTCATTTACCTGGCAGCCCGGGCATTGGCAGGGGCTGCACAAGGAGCTGCAGCATGCTGCCAAGTGCTATGAACGTCCTTACAGCCTGTATGGTGGCCCTCTCCCTGGGTCCCCGTGAGAGAAGGCCCAGCTCAATGTGCCAACAAAAGCAGTCCTCCTTCCACACGGGGCTCAAACATAATAGGGCTGAGCGGCACATTTCCTTGTTAGACACAGGGCGCTCTGAGTCAGGCCAACTGACAGCAACAAACAAGGGCAAATGCTTACCGGGGGACGCTCACTTGATATTCTCATTAGGCTCAGGGGTTAAGGCAACTTGCTTTGTGCTTGCTTGCCATTTGCCAAATTCCTAGTACATACAACATGCACAAACAGCGGGCATTTAATGAATTGGCCTACAAAAAGGATAAACATTTCCCAGTTAGGTTTGCTGCTAGCTTTGAAATGTCATTGAGAACTGAAATTGAGCATAGATGATTAACAAGAAGAGTGCACACATTCACACCTCCAGTTAATTTGCACAGCATCTTGATAAAAACATGCAATTACTATTTCCTTTTCATTTGAACCAAACCTACAGAGCGCATTCACACACACATTCTTCTTAAGTAGTGGCTAGGGCCTGCACTCTGCTGGTGTAGTGGTTATGCAATGGACTGCTTAATCAGCAAGGTCAACAGTTCGAAGCCACCAAGAGAGAGATGAGGCTTTCTACTCCTGTAAAGAGTTACAGTCTCCGAAACCCACACAGACCCTTCTAACCCTGTCCTATAAAATTACAATGGGTCGGAACTGACTTGATGGCAGTGAGAGTTTTTTTGTTTGTTTAAGTTCCTCTTTTGATAAATGCAAAATCACTCTGCCCTTTAAAACACATTTAACATGTCAAGATCGGCAAGATGGTGTGGCTGGCAATAAAGCAGCAGCAGGTGGCAGGTGCTCCTTGGCCAGCCCTGCCTGTCCCCGGAGGGCAGAACCTCCCTCACAGGAAGGTGGCACAGACGGTGATCACGTACAGGAGGAGCAGGAGACTGAGACACAGCAGAGGATCATCCGAGCATCAGCCGCACACCTGCCAGGCAGCCGCTCACTGGAGGGAGGCTTGGCTTCAACTCTTTCCTCTGGGGTGGATGTGAGGAAAAACCTCCCCAGGGCTGGGCAGTCTCCCATCGGAGTCTCCACCTCCCCTCTCTAACTGAGCACTTACCACAGTGGCAGAGACACGGCAAATGACAGGCTCACTTGCTTCACAAGTTCAAAGCCTAACAAAGGAACTGATGGCCCAGAGAAGATTACCACAATCCACAGGTAAAAAGATGACTTTATAATTCACTACACACTCATACACGTTTGTTCCAAGAAATGCAGGGTGGTAGTTTCTATTCATCCTCCACTCCCCTTTTTTACGTGTCCCCCCAATCTTCCCTACTCCCCTCAAATCCCTGTTTAAATAAATAATGGCTGGCCTCGCTACATTGATTCATGCTCTGAGCGGTGACTGCCTGGCAGAATCTGAGAGCCTGTTAGTCCCGCTTTGTGGGCAGGTGGGGCAGGCTGAGGCGGATCTCTTGCTCAGCAGCCTCATCAGGCAATGAAGATGCTTCACACTGGCTGGCTTCAGGGAGCTCTGGGCAGGGCTCGCATTTTTGAGCCAACACACATAGGGCAGTTCTTTGTACCAAAATGCATAAAAAACATCCCGTTACAAATTGCAGAGGCTCAGTCTAAAGTTATTCCTCTTAAAATTCATTCTCAGAGCAGACATGCCAAAAAACCTTTAATTATGTGACAAGTAAATTTCTCAAAA